TTTCATCAATATCAATACAATTAATATTATAAAATTCATATATTTACCCCAACATATTTATTACCTATAGGAATTATTAGAGTTTTTAAGCTGATGTGCCATTTAGGAAAAAAAGTGCTGATGTGTCAACCTTTGTGAGAATCAACTCATCTTTTATATATAGGATTAATCATTTATTTCCCTTTGTTTCCTTCTCATTTTAAGTCATTTAGTGATTTTATTTTTCATTTGAGTCTTGTTTCTTGTTTGTATAGGTTTATCTTAGAATTCTAGACTAGCCCTTTGTGTTTGTGCATATTATTCTAGACTAGCCCGTTGTGTTTGTGCATATTGTAGCTTGGAAACACATTTGAGAGGTTGAGTTTGAAGATGGGAGATAAAGAGAGTCAAATAAGGGGCAAAAATAGCAAAGACATCATCGATTGATTTACAACCGATCACTAAAAGTATAAAACCACTCAGCTTGTGATGGGTTTGCAATAGATCACTAAGACCAATCAGACCAACGTTTATGTTCTGAAACTTTCACCTCAATTTCGGTCGGCTTACAGAAGATCGGAAAGACCACTCACATCAAACTCTTTATTTTGAACTTTAGGATTCAACTCGATTTGTCTCTCTTCGACTCGTTTGAATATATGTTTGACTGAAGCTCATGGGACATTCACGTGGATGGAGATTTTCTCTGCTTTTGTGCGCTCGTTTCTTATATATCTCCGACTATTCGAACACAATGCTTCCAAATCAAACTACAAGGTAATTCCTTTGCCTCTGTTTACTGCTCTGTACACTTGCCAAACCGAAGTCTTGTACAACGTTGAAATGTCCTCTTCTCCTTGTGATCATGAAGAAGATTGGGTAGTACCAAGTTCTTGGGTAAGCAACTCAGTCTCTTTAGATCCAACTGTGACTTCTGTTGGACTTAACATTCTCCTAACTCCTATTACCTAATTGGAAAACTAAATATTGATGTACATTCCAAGAAAGACATGTTATACTTGCCAGCTCCTGGAAGGAACCACTTGTGCTCCACTTCAAGACAGACGACAATCCTTAGTCGATAACTTTCGGTATCGCAACAGACCATCCATGAACGAGCTGTATGATTCATGTTTCAGGGCAGAGCACTAGGTGGAGTCGCCCTCAGCAGATATTCATGGTTTTTGGAGAGGAAGAGACGGTGGCAAGGGCACAATACACCGGAGATGTGTGCATCTTCATTTCAGGGACTGAGACTGACCCTTTTCTGCATTGAGGCTATCATGTGCCCTGGTCTAATCCATACCTCCATCTATATGATGGAATCTATTGTTGGTGTTCACAATCTCACCACCACAAAAAACCGTCATTTCAAAGGCCACCAAAACCAGAAGAGATTGAGTTTG